CAACCAATCACCAATAACAACATCAATCAATCAATCAATCAATCAATCAATCAATCAATCAATCAATCAATCAATCAATCAATCAATCAATCAATCAATCAATCAATCAATCAATCAATCAATCAATCAATCAATCAATCAATCAATCAATCAATCAATCAATCAATCAATCAATCAATCAATCAATCAATCAATCAATCAATCAATCAATCAATCAATCATCAATCAATCAATCAATCAATCAATCAATCAATCAATCAATCAATCAATCAATCAATCAATCAATCAATCAATCAATCAATCAATCAATCAATCAATCAATCAATCAATCAATCAATCAATCAATCAATCAATCAATCAATCAATCAATCAATCAATCAATCAATCAATCAATCAATCAATCAATCAATCAATCAATCAACCAATCCATCCATCCATCCATCCGAATCCAATCCAATCCAATCCAATCCAATCCAATCCAATCCAATCCAATCCCGCGTTGGGCTTTTCCATTCCGAAAGCGAGGACCTGCTGAAAGCGAGGGACCTGGAGGACTCCATCGCCGGAGACGTGGCGAAGGAGCTGGGCAAGCTGAAGCAAAAGCAAAAGGCCGGGGAGCAGGGCTTAAAAGATCTCCATTTTGCAACCATTCGAAAGATGGAGACATCCTTTGGAAGTATTGGTTCAGGTGTGAAGACTTGTTTTTCTGGGCGTTGCCCGAAAGGCCCGGACATTGTGTTGGCCCCCTCCATGTCAGCATGCAACAAGAGGTGTCCATGCGAAGGTGCGCAGCGTGTGGACGTTTTTCAGCCACCGCGAATTCTCCTCGCAAGCCGTCCTTGTCGCACCTGTTGGATTGCAGGCGGCTTTGGGAATGTGATTCAGCGCATATGCTCCAGCCTTTTTGTATGCATGACCTGTGAAAGTTGTGTGTAGGTGCTTGGGAAAGCCTGGCTCCTGTACCACCGTCTTCTCTTTCTTTTGTCAATTGCCGCTTTCGACCCGGAGTTGCGAATTGTCGTATCGCTGCCCCAAATAGGGGATTCGCGCCGGCCTCTCGTTAAGAGTGGACGAACTTTTGAACTGCGAGCTCAACACGAATGATGGGCGTGTCTTTTTTCATTGGCAATGCTTTTGGGGTTGGTTTCGAAAGGGACACCACAAGGAAATCAAGCATTTTTTTGGGTCCCCCCCGTGAGGTTTTGTGCGTACTTCTGCATTTGAATACCAAAGGCTGCCAACCACAGGTGCACATGGCACGATCTGTGCCACATTCAAACATCCGGCTCGCATCCCCACAGAAGATCTTCCCCGTGTCCGAGCTGTACGTGTGTTGCCCCTCTTTTACCAGCTATCTAGTTAGATCCAGACGAGCCCCCCTTACCGCAAAAAAATACCCCCAAAACACATGGGCTGGTAAACGCCGCTGCACGAAAGGATTGGGTCGGGACAGTGCCCCATGATGACATGACTCTGGGGCGGGGGGGGCGGGGGGCAAGGGGTGGGTTGCGCTGAAATCAAATGACATCGAACAGCTAGTGAGGTTCATGCTTAAGTAATCCAGCTGAACTTCCCAACCTTCTTTCCATCGACCAAGCTGCCGTCTAGGTGCTGGATCGGCAAGACCGAAGCTGGGCTCAGAAGGCCTTGCAGTCGCTTGGCATCATCCCGGCACTGTGAAAGGGAGTCTTGCTTGGTATCCCAAAATGCGAACCGTCCAAGGGGTCTGTTCGTGTTGTTGGACCTGCATCTACAGTACTTTGGAGGCCACACATGAGCCATCAAAATCCGGGGCAGTTGAAGGTCAGTAAGCGACAGTCCCAACGCCGCCTTGGTAGGGTTTTGGGTTCACCGGTTTGGTACCGATCGGCTTTGATTATAGCTCACCAGGAAGGAAAGCCTCCGGGATCGGAGCATTGCCTCAATGAACAAGCTCGGGTCCTGATTTTGGGAACCCGGCTGTGGGGCTGTGAGAACAGCTTGAGGATTGAAAACAGCCGGCTCCGACTGCTCTAGCGGAATATCTTCAGGGGTCGGATTCATAGTGCCTCATAGAAGAAGGCTTAATACTGACTGTGGATGGTCGAAATCCTGCACCACTTTGAAACCATGGAAAGCCATTGTTTGTTGGTATTTACAGGGGAATCGAATCATTCCAGGGTTTCTTAGGTGGTGCGAAATGGAGTTCGCCCATCCACAGGAAGGGCTCTTGGGGCGGTCTTAGAGGAAACTCTAGGTGGGCCGTGGACACTTAGAGTGTATTTTGCAGTGAAAAAGCACCCATACCCTAAAAGAATGAGGTTGCCAAATAGACCCTAGGTGTCCATCATGCTGGGTGGGGGAGGGGGGGAAGGCCTTCTTCTTGGACCGGCTACTTGCCTCATTTGATCAGTCATTTGTCAGCCCCTTCGGCCCAAGGCCCAATGCACTTTGTTCATGAAATCCCATGTTCACACTTTTTTCTTGGCGGTTCCACAGCCGTTCCCGTACGCTTTTGGGTTTTGGCGCTGAGTGGGGGTTTCCATTTAACCCACTAACAGTCAATTCCTTAGCCAGTTTGACAGCCCCGGTTTGTGCTACTTTTGCCCACGCAGATGCTAAGTCAATGGATGGCTAAAGAGACGGGAGGCCTGCCGGATTTCGTCGGCTCAGGAAAGGCCTCGCAGATGAGCGGTCAAAGCCTGTGCCGCAGCAGGACCAAGGGGTGACTCATGACTCATGTCGTGCAATTTTTCCTCCCAGTGTTTGGAAGCCTTTCGGTCAGATTCGCAAAAGGCTTGGGCAGCACCTCTGCACAGCCGTGCTGTTTTGAACACGCGGCTCAAGCTGGAAGTAGGCTGCTTGCGCTCTGAGTGAATCTGAGTTCTGGCAGAGAGTTGGATCCCTTGAGGCGGATTTCACGTTGGCATCCTCGAAAAATGGAGCAAAGGGTCCCCAGTGTTTGGCACACAGAAAAGCCTTGGGGCCCAATGCTGGGCGTACGCGGTGCCGGTGGAGATTCTCCACTTTTTATTGGGATGTAACAGCAATCAAAATGTTGCACATGGCTGTTTGATGTGCATGTCCCAGAATGAAGGGGACCCAGAAACTGGTTCTCTTTTGGTTCCCGTTTGACCCCCTTCCAAAAGTGGTGCCCACTTTCAGCTATTTTGGATTCTAGCTGAGCCCTATATATCGCCACGCAACATTGCCGCGCTTTGTTTCTTGTTTTCTGTTTCGGCAGCGCAGATGGTGGCAGATGTTAGAAGTCAGAATCTACCTGAGCATATTTGTCAAGGTACCCTTTTTGAGGTTGGTTGAATCGGACACCAACAACAACTGCCGTTTTTGGGGCCTCCCTATTTTGACATATATCCATATGTTTGCAAAGTGACAGTCCTGGGATGTTATGGGGTCTCGTAGAATTCAACTGGTTTGCGCTGTTGACTGTCTTTGGAATGCGCTGCCTAGAAAGTTTCCGCGCCAGCTTCCACAGACCTTCGATTTCCGATCGTCAAATGTGTTGAGCGAAGACCCCTGATTTCGCCTTGGTCACACTCCCACCCACTATTTTCGGCAACTCGCAGACACTCAATGCGGAAGACGGTCTTCGTTTTGGAAAAGGAATCAACTGGGATCTTCAATGTGTGTTGGCGAAGCATTTCTTGCAGAGAATGCCTGAAGTATCCTTCTGACTGCTTGACCCTTGGCTGAGTTCTGGAATGCCTCGTCAACGTGGCAAAAGATGGCAGATGGTCTGAAACCTCAAGCCAGCAAGAAGAGCTCACCTGGGGGGTAAAACGAGCTCACCGTGCTAAAGATCCTGTACTTGGGCATCCCTTGTTTAAGGTTCTGGACATATTGAAACAAATGCAGAGACTTTTGCAGGGATCAAGGACACACCCAGATCAGGTTGCCTGCGACATATCTTCGAATGTGCACACTGAAGCCGGTGATTTGGATGTGGATATGGATACTCCGCAGGACGCAGATGAGCTGGAGTGCAGTGTCAAGGAGACGGGTCGAGAAGCACGTGCTATCAGTAGGTGGAAATCCTTACGGCCACTTGAACTGCCCTTCTCTTCCCCCTTGGTCCTCTTCAGAAGCTTTCCATTTGCCCAGAGGTTTGGCGGTCCATTTTCGGAAGAGAAGGATCCATGAACAGAAAGGGGGCCTATGGCTAGAAGTGCAGTTATGTATATATATATATATAGGCTGAAGCGGGTTCTGAACAAGTATTGTACATATAAAATAGAAAAATGTATACATACATGTGTATACAATATATATATATATATATGTATATATATATATATATGGTCGCTCCATCTCAGCCCAACTCATCAATATGACACCGCCTTGTTGGCTCCCAAAACCTGCCTTCCTGAGCCTAGTGGGATTCTATGAGTTTGGCACTCGTTCGAGTCCGTTGCCGTCGGTCGCATAGCTTTCCATTCTCACGCAGTTGGGCTTGACAAAGGCGAGTTTTGATAATGAATGGAGCACCCAAGGTGGTCGATGTCCAAGGCGTAGTGTTAGCGGCTGATGGACAACTAGCTCGTTTCATGTGCTTTTGTTTGTTTGTGTCAGTGCAGCCTACAGTGGTTGGCCGTCGCCCGCGATTTGCGCGCTCTCGAATTGTCCGTCCGCATAGCCATTCAGGCTTCGAGTCAGGTTAACGTAGAGTTCGCCGGGTGACAGTGCCAGACAAGAACAGACCAAGGAGGCATTTCTTTGAGCAAGCCCAGGCGATGTCGTGCCAGAGATTGAATCACCCAACATCACTCGCGGTGCGCAGGCATCTTCTGGAAATCCCGTGCGGGTTTCATGGCTTCGCCTGGGCTTTTGGATCTGCCTTAAAACCAGCTCCCAGCTGCACAAACTTGAGCCTTGAGTTTTGAACTTCTTGACGAGATTTCAGGCACTAGAGACTCTCAGCTTTTCAATCCGCATTGTTTTCTCAAAGAGACTACTCACCGCTTTGGACAGTATGTTTTGGACCCAACGTGACCCCCTGAGACCAGACACATGGGTAGTTCCCTTGGAGCCCTGTGTGGTTCACCCGCGGCACGGGGTAGCGTGTGCACGAGTTGCCCCGCGCATGCTGCCGGCCGCTCTGGTCCTGGCCTTGCCTGAGCAAGGCGTTGGGTTAGGGAATGACGCCTGCTGGCGCGGCGGCTTCTCCTTCGAAGACTGCTGCAAAGGCCGGGGCAGGCCTGAGTGCTTCGATGCGCTGCGCCTCGGCATGCAAAGAGGGGCTTCCGGGAGGTGCTGGGCATACGATCTGCAAGGGTTTTTGGGGCTGATGCCAGTGAATTCATGGGGTCCACGGTTGAATTGCAGGATACCCTCACATTGAGTGCCCACCAGTCCACCGATGTTTTCAGGCGGGGTCGCCGTTTCAACATGAAGCTGAAGTTGTTTGGAGGGTTGCGAATGCCATCTTGAGGTTGGCTGGAGGATTCCAGATATCATTGCAACATGTCGAACACATGCCCTTGCATCGGCCTCTTCTTGATTCACCGAGAGAAAGATTGCGCGCCTCTCAGGTACACATTCGAGGTCTGCTGCCTGGATGCCAAGGCTGCGCTGCCACAAGACTGCCACCAAGATGTGGAATCCCTGGCAAGGCACTTGCAGTGCAAAGGGACGCAGTGGGTGAAGAAGGAGGACTGGGCTGAGCGTGTGGAGGCGAAGCCAAAGACGCACAACTCGTGCTTGCCAACATGCAACCCATGAAGCAGTGTCATCATGCAACCTGAATGAATATGACTACATAGATTTGTAGCTACTTGTTGGGTCCCTCTGAAAAAAGGAACCCCGAGAAAGCCAGGAGGCACCTGTTTGAAGATTGGTCACAGCGTGTTGACGCGGAACCAGCCACGCGCCATAATTTCACTAGACTAACGTGTTCAATTTGCCGACATGTTTGCCGACATGTTCAATTTGTTGTCATCAATTCAATCCAGTATGTGATGCTAAACATCGGTTTGGCTTGCCAGTTCAAACACTGCCGAGCTGTGTTCAATGTGAAACAAGTTAAGGCCTCGTCTGAAAACACCCGACTGTTTTGTGACGTGACCCTATGCTGGTTTGTGTGGACCATGTAGGCACTGCAATGCAGTCTTTTCCTGATGAGGGAGCCATTGTTCACACATCCATGCTTATTCATTCCATTAGCAGTAGAGTGTCTTCGCTATTCTTTGCGCATAAGGCGCGCTTGATGCTGTGTTGTTTTTCTGCCTTCACTTGTCCTGAGCAGCACTGTTCAGACACAAGCAGACGGTTCAAAGCAGTGCAGATTGTGTTTTTTTCTTGCCGGGGGGGCGACAACATGCGGGCATTGCTTGGATGTGGAAGACGCAGATGTTTTTGCAGCAAGTGTTGCATCCGATTGACGATACAACATTATGAATCATGGAGTTGAGGTTTAAAGGGGTTGACAATTCAAAGCAATGCTAGATGTTACCACGACAATTGGTGGGTGTCATTCTTTTTGAGGCCCTTTGGCTTGTCTCAAACGAAACCACATTGGACAACCGCCCATTAAAGGTGCTTTTTCTTAGAGACAAGCCCAGGCAACTTGCCCAGCCTCCTTTTCTGCAGCCTTCGGTTCAGGCGACCCTTGCTTGGTGGTTTAGATTGGTGGTTTAGGGAGTTGGAGCCATGTTTTTTGGGTACATGGGAAGCTAACCTCCAAACCACCACATGCGCGCTTGGAGCTGGTTGTTTTTTGTACGTCTTGGCCTTCTGAAAGCTCTTGGTGCGAGTCAAACGGACGAAACGTTCCGCTTGCGGACTTGACGGCTGCTTTCAGGGGAAAGGACTTGAGAGATTTATTTGGTTTCTGGGTTACGAACACAAACCCATGTTCAGTCCCAAAAACCCATGTTCAGTCCCCAAAAGAAGCATGGTCCTTTTTTTCTGTTGCTTTTTGGGATCAGGACTGGGACAGCTTCTTCCTGGCGCACCAGCTCTCGCAGAGCTTGGGGGCCTCCTATAAGGGCTGGCCCGACATCGGGGAGCTGCTTAGGAAGGCCAACGCCACTGGCACAATATTAAGGTGGCAAGTGGTTGTACACGAAACACTGTAATGGAAGCCAGCATGTACGTTTTCTCTTGCTGTTGCGGCTCGCAAAGAGGGGCGAGACCCTAGAACGAACGCATCAAAATGAATCACATGATCTGACCTCATGAGGGGCTCAAACCATGTCACCCGTGATGTGTGGCGAATTGTCCTGCCTGGTCAATCACCAAGCACAGCAACTGCGACATGAGGGCGGCCGGTCCGTCGGTTCGGATGGTTGGTCACATTGGAAGTAGAACACTTACTGGCCCCAGCAAGCCTTGACTCCTTCTTTTTTTTTGTTTTGTTTTTTAAATAACCCCCAAAATTACTCAACATGGTGGTGTGTCCCCTTTTAGTGGGGGTTCCTCATTTCTTTCATTTTTCATTTTTCCGTTGAGGTGGGGGGAGGAACTCTGAACGGAAAAACCCAAAACCAAGGGGCCCTTGCGGCAGCTCGCCTCTCCAAAGCGAGGCGACGACTGGGGCGCTGAGGGCCACGGAGGAGGATTGCCGCTTCGGGTTAGCGGCGCTGCTGCTGCAGGCGGGGCTGGGTGTCTTATTGTGGCGTCCCGGCTGGGCAGAGGGTGGGTGGACGTTTTTAAGGGGAAGAAAGGGGCAAACCCGCGGCAGGCGTCTGAAGGCTTCCCCATCCGCTGGGCGGATGGGGGGTGGGCTTTTTGAAGGGAAAAAGAGGCAAACTTCTGTTTGGGATGGGGGTTTGAAAGGGAGAACGAGAGGAAAAGCCACCTTTTTGGTTTGGCTGGGGGGGGTTGACGCATGGACTTTCGAGACGAAAGGCCGAGACCTCCAGATCTTCCAGTGGTGTGTTCCTCCCAACTTGTGGGGAAGTCGAAGATCAAGCAACAAACACCCCCCCCCCCCCACCCCCCACCCCCATAGAACTCCAAGATCCGCGGGAGCTGATTTCTCCTTAGAGAAGGAAGCCCGGATGAACAACTCTGTCATACCCATCCTACTAACGAGGGGGTGTAAAGTCGAGGAATACGACCAAAAGGGCACGTCCCCCTATGAATCAACCAGGGGCTCATCAACTCGGGGCTGCCACTAGTTTTGAGCAACCTCGTCTTGAGACCCCACAAACCCCGCTACGTGTGCCCACAAGTTAACGCTCCCGAAAGGCTTTTTGGAGGAAAGCACAGCAACAACAATTTCTTCCTGCAAAGGACATGTGGTTAGCCAACGCTCTGAGCAAGGTGCCAGGGTGTATCCTTTGACGAGTTTTCTTCCGAACTGTAGAATTCCCCTTCAAGCAGGCCCCTTGATCCCTCAAAAGCCTGCATTTCTTCTTTTTAACGGGGTACCCATTTTGAGCTTTCAAAGGAACCTCCCCATTTCTGGGGTAGGCGCTGCCTAGCCTGGAGCGCGCGGGCGCCCATGGCGCTGTCCGCGCGGCGTACCGGCGGGCGCGGCGGCTGTCATTGGCAGGAGGCCGCCCTTGGCGGCGCGGCAGTCGTTCAACGGTACGCACACTCTGCATAGGTGTCCCTTTTAGGTTATTTTGGTTAGAAATTGGTGGATTCCACTGGCTTAGGTTGGTTGTATTCCATTGACCAGGGCCATCTATTTTCCCAAAAATCACACCTATGATACTCTGGTACTCGTAGCTGATCATGTTGATGGTAAACCCACCTACGGTGTTCTCGTGTTTTCCTGTTGGCTAGAAGGCAAGACATGGGCGGAGCCGCTTTGCAATCTGCCTCAGGGAAGGCTCGAGTCAGCCCAGGTTTGTCGTTGCGCTGCCTCTTTCACGGGCTTTTGCTTGGTGCCCTGTAAAAACGGGGGGAAAAGAAAGCAACGGCAGCGGGTGCCAAAAACTTGGCCCCCTCTCTTGCCGAAGAATCCTGGCGCTCTCCCAATCTTTGGGCCAGACGCTTCGGAACTTCGAGCAGGCGAGGACTGCCGCTGGAGGGAGATGGTGAACCACGCCATCTTGCAGCACACGGACATGCTGCTGGGCCCCACGGTTCGGACATGGGCCGCCCTTGCTGGGTTTTGGCTTGGAGGTGCGATAAACGGCGATGGGTCCCAAAATGGAACCCTAAGTGGAAACATGGACGATTTAACCTGTGGTCCCCTGATGGTTTAATTTTGACCCATACCCAAATCATCTCTTCATTGTGCAACCCTCAAGGCGGGTTCAATTTTACGAGGCTAAGGGGCATTACAGAAGTCGGGAGAAGCCTTAGCCTTCGGATAAGGTTGAGGAAGAAGCGGGATGGCTTTCTGATGGTTGGCTCAGGGGTTGCTGATGATTTTGCGATGACAAAAGCTGATGGGGTGTTGACGAGCTGAAGTGCTTTCTGGCATTTGTTGTTGCCAGTTTGCTAGTTTTGCATACGTGTCATTCTTTCTGCTCTGCCGTTGATGGGTCACTGATACTTTGTTGACGATAAGCTGACACTGTGTTGTCAGCTTGAACATCGATTGGTGCGATTTCCCTTCCTCGCTGATTCTAGCCCGAGAGTACGGGGGTCAAAAAGAAGAGAGCTGGAAAGGTGGCACGGACAAGTCTGTTTCAAGTGAACAGAATCGGACCACAGAACTGCCTAGAAGGGTCTCGAGGATTTCCAAAACAATCATGCCGGGGCTTGGGGAATAGTTGGGAGCAACACAGCGCAGAACTCTCCTTTAAACATGGAGTGCATGTGGCAGGATGCGTGACCCTAAATTCCTCGCAAACAGTCGCCTGGCTGTTTGGTGCGAAACTTAGCCGTTTGCAAGTGGGGCTGATCAAAAGGTCCTTTACATGGGATGACCATCGGGGAAAATCACTAAACATATGATATCAAGATGATATTTCTCCAAATGGGAAAAATTACCCGTGGTCATTTGGGGGCCGAACAAACTTTCAAGCCTCCAGCTCAGTCCGCCGACATTGACCTCTCCCTTTTCTCTCCCTCCCCCCCTTTTTCCCTCCTCTCCCTCCCTCCTGTCATTCCTTCCTGTCATTCCTTCCTGTCATTCCTTCCTGTCATTCCTTCCTGTAATTCCTTCCTGTCATTCCTTCCTGTCATTCCTTGATGTCATTCCTTCCTGTCATTCCTTCCTGTCATTCCCTCCTTTCCCTCCCTCCTCTCCCTCCTCCCTTCCTCCATCTCTCTCTCATCTCCATCTCTCTCTCATCTCCATCTCCACCTCCACCTCCACCTCCACCTCCACCTCCACCTCCACCTCCATCTCCATCTCCATCTCCATCTCCATCTCCATCTCCATCTCCATCTCCATCTCCATCTTTTTCATCTTCATCTCCACCTCCATCTCCATCTCCATCTCCATCTCCATCTCCATTCCATCTCCATCTCCATCTCCATCTCCATCTCCATCTCCTCTCTCTCTCTCTCTCTCTCTCTCTCTCTCTCTCTCTCTCTCTCTCTCTCTCTCTGTCTCTCTCTCTCTCTCTCTCTCTCTTCTCCCATCCTCTATCTCTCTCTCGCTTTTTTTTTTTTTTTTCTCTTTCTCTCTCTCTCTCTCTCTCTCTCCTTCCCGTCCTCTCTTGCTCTCTCTCTCCACCCCCCTCTCTCCGCCTCTCTCTCCTCCCCCCTTTTTTTAAAGCACTTTTTTGACTTTCTTGATTGGCCCTTCATTTCCCCTTCATTTCCTTTTCATGTCCCGTCATTTCTTATTATTTTTCGTGATGCCCCCTTCATGTCTTTTCAATTCCACCTGCATTTCCCTGGCATTTTCTCGGTATGTCTGCGTAATTTTCCATGTATGTCCCACTCATTGCCAGTCATTTCCCTACATCTCCCTGCGTGTCCGTTGATTTCCTCGTCACTGTCTGTCGTTTCCCTTTGTTTCCCCTTCATTCCCCCTCTATCCCCCCTCCATTCCCCCTGCATGTCTCATTCCTTTCCCTTTCATTTTTCGTTGAGTTCCCCTTCGTTTTCCCTTTCATGTCCCTTGAGTTCCTGTCATTTTCGCTTCCTGTCCCCTGCAGCATGTTATTGCATTTGCCTTGATTTACCCTTGATGTCCTCTTTATGTTCCTGCACTTCCCTTGCATATCCCCTTCATTCCCCGTTATTTTTAGGTACTTCTTAACGTTGTCGCAAAAAGGATGTCAAAAACACTGAGTTGTTCAATGTGTTCGGCTAAAGGAGGCGGAAAACCTCCACCGGCAAAGGGTCGGGGATACGAGCCCCCCGGCATCAGACGTCGGGCGGGCGGGGGGGGTTATCCTCTATCGTCTCTTAGGTGTCCGACACGCCGAGCAATGTCGGAGATTGATCAATCCCCAAGCAAGACCCGATCATTTGGGCAAAGGCAAGGAATTTTGGAACCCCCGCGCCGAGTCGTGAGGCGCAGACCGACGCTTCCGTGGCTGGTGCCCTGCGAATGGGCCCAAGATCTTTGTGCGCCTTGGATGCAGTTTCCTCGACCTGCCTAGCTGACGGCTACGGGTCGAGTTTTTGGACGAAAGGTCAAGGCCATCTCGCAAGTGGTCTAGCCTTGGTGTTCAGCTGTGTTTCCACCGAAATGGTTGCTGAACACATTACCTTTTGGACGAGAGGGACACCTAAGAACTCCGTAACTAAGTCAGCCCGGATTCGGAACTTTGAACTGGAGATAAGCTGGAGGACCCATTTTGAGGGGATGCCCCGAACCAGAATGGCGCTTTCTTGATTCCATGTTTATTTTTATAATATTTCACAGGCTAGTGATGCATTTTATGACTGGCTTTGATGTTTGCACGTTCATTCTTTTATTTCTTGTGGGGAAGATGCCCTTCGCCTCACTTGGTACATGGTCTTTAAGTGCGGACTTCGTCCGTTTTGGTCTGTTGTCCATCACAGTTGAGTTGGGAATGATGGGTCCCAAAGGCTTGCCCGAGCGAGTCCCAGGTACGAGCTCCCTTTGGCGCGCAACCCGCTCTCCTGCGCGCGGATCGGCTTTTGGGCCTCTGAGGCGAAGGCTTTTTTCTTGGGAGGCGTTGGGCTCCAAGGCCCCGATTTTTTTTGGTTTGTCCTGTTCGGTCTTTGTTTACCTTTGGGCCTATGGGTCCTTTGGGCAAATGACGGGCTTTGCCCAAGCAATGGCGACGTTTTCCTTTTGGGTTCCCTTGGAATCACCTTCGAAAGGGTAAGAGGCACGTTTCCATTCCACACCTGTCACCAGTTTTTTTTTTCTATCTTACCCTTTTGCCTTCCGGCAACCCTTAATTGGTGGTTTGGATTAGTGGTTTGGGGACTTGACCTCCTGGTTCTTGTATACGGTACATGAGAAGCCACCCCCTAACCTCCACACCACCGGGCTTCAAAGCACCAAACAACGAGGGAAAGCTGATGCAAGGCTTTCGACCAGAGTCACCCGTCTTGGCCAGCTCAACAAAATGATCATGTTATTGTGGGTAGAGGGCACCCTGAGTAGACGCAACTGAAGGAGGAAATCCGACCCCGACCACTGGAGCGCAAAATACCCCGGCCAAAGATGGGGAAGACTGATTGAAGGGGTCGCAGGTATATCTGGAGCGTTTCCTCTTCTACAGCGGCTGTCGGACCTCCGACCCTGAGGCGGGTCGGTTCGCAAGTTGTCAGCCATGCAGCCATGCAGCTTCGAAGTCCGGAGCAGAGCCTGACTGCATCGCTGCTTGGACCAAGCGTGGACCAATCTTGGGAGAAAAAGGCTGGTTTGGGGTTGTCTTCTTTACTGGGGAAGTCGGGGGAAACCCTCAGGTCACGACGCACAGGCCGATGCAGCTGATAGAGTCATGCTTATCTGCATGATTTGGGTGTGGGTCAAAAATACGTGCCCAAGATGGAGCCCTGGTAAAAGAAAACAAGGAAGATTTAACCTGCGGTCCATATGGTTCATTTTTGACCCATACCCATCTTGGAGGGCCAGGCAGGTTTGGGCAGTCGCCAGCTTCTGCCTCTAGGAGGCAGATCTCTTCTTCGTCCCGGCGTACCTCACCTGCTGGGAGCTGCAGCATTCGAAGCCGCTCTCGGCGCTGGCGCGCGCCGAGTTCCTGGCCGCCCGGCCAGGCAATCTCGGGTGAGATGGGGGGTGGTGGTTTGCGTGCGTGCGTGCGTGCGTGCGTGCGTGCGTGCGTGCGTGCGTGCGTGCGTGCGTGCGTGCGTGCGTGCGTGCGTGCGTGCGTGCGTGCGTGCGTGCGTGCATGCGTCGTCGCATCGCATCATCAACATCATCTTATCACATCATCACATCGCATCACATCTATCATCAACATCATATCACTATCATCACATCATCATCATATCATATCACTATCACATCATTATCACATCATATCATATCACATCATCACATCATCACATCACATCACGTTTGTTTATTCTCACATCGCATCATTATGTGGGTCTGATATCACATCAAACATCGCATCTTATCACATCTTATCACATCATCTTATCACATCACATCATAGGATAATTCACTCCTTTCGCATCACATCATCACAATATATTTATCACATCGCATCATCGCATCTTATCACATCATATCTCTATCACATCACATCACATCGCATCACATCTTATCATCGCATCACTATCTTATCACATCATTATCACATCGCATCATCACATCGCATCATATCATATCATAGCATCGCATCACATCATCGCATCGCATCACATCACATATATATACATCATTATCATCTTATCATATCATCACATCACACGATTAGCTTATGGTGTCTTATCATCACATCACATCAACCACATCACATCATATCGCATCGCATCGCATCGCATGCAGTAAATAAAAATGTCGCATCACTTATCGCATCGCATCATGCATCATTATATATATCACATCACATCGCATCTTATCACATCACATCGCATCATCATCGCATCACATCACATCGCATCATCGCATCGCATCATCATCATCATCTCATCTCATCACATCTTATCATCATCATCGCATATCATCACATCATCATATCATCTCATCTATCATCTTATCTTATCTTATCATCATCATCATCACATCATCATCATATCTTATCATCATCGAGCTCATCATCGCATCGCATCTTATCAAATATCATCGCATCTTATCATCACTCATCACATCATCATCGCATCATATCGCATCATCATCGCATCATCGCATCGCATCATCGCATGCATCGCATCGCATCGTCTGCCTTCACGTCGCATGCGTATAACGTCACGTCGCGTCGTGCGTCTGCGCAATGGCATCTTGGCCAAGCGACAACAACCAGCAATGACAATGACAATGACAGCGGCAAGCGGGCCAACAATCAATGACAATGACAGCAACAGCCAGCAAGCGGCAATGACGGCAACTGGCAATGACAGCCAGCGAAGCAGCCAGCCAGCAGCGGCGAAGCGGCAATAATGACGAAGCAGCAGCAATGACAGCCAGCAGCAGCCAATGACAGCAATACGCTTGGCAAAGCGAAAGCGGCAGCAGCAGCAAAGGCAGCAGCGAAAGCGAAAAGGCAGCAGCCAGCGAAAGCAGCGGCGAAAAGCGACGAAAAGCAGCAGCAAGCAACGGCGGCAGCCAGCGAAAGCGGCCAATAATGACGACAATGAAAGCAAAGCGGCAAGCCAGCAGCGAAAGCGGCAATAATGACAATGACAATGACGGCGGCGAAAGCAGCTGACAGCGAAAGCGGCAAGCGGCAATGACAGCAGCAGCAGCAGGCAATGACGGCAAAGCAGCTGACAATAATGACGGCAGCGAAAAGCAACAGCAGCAGCAATGACGGCGACAACGGCGAATGGCAGCCAATAGCAAAGCGGCACCAAACATGACACACAGGTAATAATGGCGCGTAATAATGACAGCAATAATGACGAAAAGCGAAAGCGAAGCGGTAGCGAAAGCAGACAGAACCAAGCAATGACAGCGAAAAGCTCTTCCATGATCTGGCCCCAGATATGCATGGATCTTAGCCAAGCGGGCGAAAGCCGAAAGCGGCCGAAAGCGAGCAGTAGACAATGACAATGACGAAAGCGAAGCGAGAAAGCGAAAGCGGAAAGCGAAAGCGAAGCGGCGAAAGCAGCCAAAGCGGCGGTAACGGCAATAATGACGGCGTCGTCGTCGTCGGCGTGCGTGCGTGCGTGTGCCTCTTTTTTTGTGGCGAGTGCAGACAGAGTGAGCAGAGACAGACAGACAGACGGACGGACAGGCAGATAGACAGACGGAACAGGCCAAGGCCAGGCCAGGACAGACAGAGAACGAACAACAAACAAATAAAACCAGATAGTAGCGGTGTTTGAAGAAAGGCTCAGTTGAATTTCCACGAGGCTCAAAACACGTTCTCTCCCAAAAAGCAATATTCCAGTACGACCCGGTGAGTTTGGCGTTCCATGTAAGGTGTGCACGCACGATTTCCACTTAGAGGGCACGGGAGAGGCAGAGCCTTGGACGACTGACCCGATGTTGACGCAAGGTTTTTCGCACCTTCGGCACTTCACTCGGCGACAAATTTCCACTAAAACAACTTTTCTGGGTCTTGTTCCAAGCTTTTGACTCCTGAAGATCATTGCCATGTTCTGCCCAGATTGGATCTTTGGGATGTCCTGAGAAGTGGCAGTTATGTTCACTTGGGCAGGGTTCTTGCCTGGAGTGGAGCAGACGTTTGCCCGACTTGGCTGCGTGCTCACTTTTGCTCACTCCAGTGCAATGCTTTGACGCCGGAAAGTCGAGATTGGGCGACCTAAAATGCTTTTTGGACGGTTTCAAGCGTCTCTCAGGGGTCTTTGACTTGAGTTACCTCGCCTGATGCTGAACGGAGGGACATAGAGAACTCTGGCTTTGAGGATGATAGAATGTTCGATACAAACAGATCCGGTTTTGGTAGGGATCCATGACGAGTATTGCGGCTGTATGTGCAGTGCAGCAGTTCATGTGGTTCTCGCCTTCACCTTCCAACATCCATTTCACACATCCAGCTTGTGGCATCGCACTGTTCTCTCCTCTTGGACTTTTCCTGGGACCCCGTGCTCCCTCGAATTTCGGGCGGTATCCGTGGAGGACGACGACTAACTCGGCGATCGGCGCGGTGTTTCGTTCCGAGGACGCGCAGCGCGGGGAGTTGGGGCGCCTGCCGTTCTTGGGGGCCAGGGGCGGCCTGGACCACGTCTTCCTCTTCGGGGCCTCGGCCTGGCAACTTCCAAGGCAGGGGGAGGGAGGGGCTGGAGGGTGGGGTGAGAGGAGCACTTCCATGGGTGGGTGGACGGGGGTCAGGGGGGCGTGACAAGTTCCCTGCGCTTCCACCCAGGCTCCACTTTGCCGCACATCTTTTTCGGAGCCTTTGCTTTGAGAAGGGGTGACGAGTACCCCACGTTGTCTTTTTTTTTTTACACTTGCACAAGCAACATATTTCTGGTTGGTGTTTTTAAAGGGAGCCAATTTCACCAGTGGAGACCTTTTTTTTCCTCATTCTTTCGCCAGGTGACGTCTTATTGCAGCAAATGGAGCGTGTTTCAATTGACCCCCATGCTCTTTGCCCGGAGAAAAACCAAAGCCGCAGGTGGCGCAGCCTGCTGAAGGACTCCATCGTCCTTGCGGTGGAATCTCAGCCCATCGAGTCAGATGGCACCCCAGAGGACGAGACACGCTGCGGCTCGGAGGACGTCTTGGTCAAACGCGAGGTGGAGTCCTGGGTTTCCACGGGAGAAACATGAAACCTCGGCTGAAAGGACCGGCTTGGTCCCTAAAAATGGGCAACTGTCCAAGAGCTTTGCTTGGTTGGCAGATTGCCGACCATCGCTAGCCCCTGGTCTTCAGGTTCCGAATGTTGTTGAGGGTAAGATGCTTGACCAAAGGACGGATTCGTCAATTCGGGATTCCCGGCGATAGGAGGGTTTTCTACATTGACCTCAATTGATCATACATGAATTGCATTGTCTTGGAGTAGCCGCGAGGCATGACCAACACGCAAATGAAACGAGTCATGCATTCCCCAGATGTGAAACGGTGATTCGACCAGACATTCCTGCGCGTAGACAGTACACTGGAAGGCTTGCGGATGAAGCCAAAAACGTGGCTTGACAAACAGACTTCTTAGGCCGGCATTCCAATGCCTGTTACTTTGTCGCGTCAAAGCCAGGACTCTTTTTGTATGTGGAAAGGATACAAACACACACACACACACAACAAAAAACGGTCTCTGGTTTTCGCGTCAGGACCATTGCTGTCCTTTTAAGTCTATTTCGAACAGAAATCGATGAGTTCCACTGGTTTAGATTGGTTTTGTTCCCCATTTAGAAGGGAGCCCCATCTCTTTGACCAAAAGGACGCCTATGGTCAAGACCCTTTTCTTGATGTCATACGCACTTCCACGATCCATCCACCGGACCGCAGCCTTTTTCGGCCCGACCAGTTGTTCGTCTTGCGGCCCTTTTATCGCTCGCAATGAGCTGCTGTCCGCCCGGATCCTGGCCGGCGTGCGTGAAATCCGAGGAGTCGACAACGGGAGTGTTCTTCGAAGAACGTCTGTAGAGGGCTTCCCCTCAGACCGAGCGGATTCCTTTCTGCCACTCTGTGTAAAATGATCTTACCTTCCATTTGCTGAAATGAACCTGTTTATTTCCCCCTGTTGGTTTTAAAGGCGAATCTAGCACTACTCACTACTGGACAGAAGTGTTCTTTTTTTTAGAGGGCTTCAACAATTGGAGGATAAACAGGACTCGATCGCTGGTCATCCAAGTTGAGACCCATGGGTTCTCAATAATTCTCATCAGCGGTGCAAGCAAGATGGGCATGCGTCAAATTAGGGATTCGCACCCCCACAATGGTCTGATCTTCGTTTGGGTTCCTCTGAAAACTGGAAAAGGGACCTCCAAAACTTCCTCCCCAAAACCAGATGACCTTGAGCTCTCAATAGCAGCGTAAAGAAGCAGGGTGTGAGCATCAGATGTTTTCCAACGGATAGTTCCTATATGCATAATGTACTTCCATTTGCTGAAAGTAATAGTTTTCATTTCCCCCTGCTGGTCTTAAAGGAAATCCATCACTCGTGCGAATATTTTTATTTTTCCAGCGGACTTAAGCAAATGGAGGTATACATCGGGCTATTTGAAAGGGCCTCTGAATTCATTGTGTTTTTGCATTTAGGGTTCTCAAAATGGTGGTGTTCAAGGGGAAGGAAGCCAAAACGGAAACCACACATTTTGTGGGTTCCCCCTACTTGAGAAACGCCCCTTACAAGCAAAGGACAATGTTGCTACCAGTCTACGATTGAATCGGGGAGAACGTGGGGGGTGCTTTTGCCTATGTGAAGCTGGGTAGCCCCAAAGACGGGGGTTTTTTTTCGGGTTGGAAACCAACAGGACTACCAGAAATCGGTGGTTTCCACCCTGAGACACTTCCACCCCTTATCAGCTGACCCTTAGTTGGTGGTTTGGGAACTTGAACCCTTGACCTCTTTTGGCTAAACGTGACAGCACCACCAAAACCCGGGCTCCGAACCACGAGAAAACCAGCTCGGGAGACGCCGACGCCTTGGATTTCCGCCAGGACTACAAGGCCAAGGGCGCAGAGTCGAAGCTTGGGGAGCTGAGCGTCTACTCCGTGGGCCCCTCCTCCGAGAAAGGAATTCTGGTGCTCCCGGACGTCTTCGGACCGACCTGAACGGGAAATGGATGTTTGGGATCGCTTCTTTGGGGCAGGGGTCGGAGAGTCGGTGGATAGTTTGGTTTGGGTGGTGGTGGTTTGAAACGGGGTTTGGGGGGGGTGTCTTGGTGGGGTTTGATTATAGCTTTGGATTTCTTTGGGTGGGGGTTACCAGGTGTTTGGGTGGTTTTCCCTCTGTCTCTCGCTCTCTCGCTCTCTCTGTCTCTCTTCCTCGTCCTCTCCCCCAAACAACAGACCCATGGGATTACATGATGTATATATATATATATAACTCTTCCTGTGCACGGCCTGCAAATTGACGGTTTCATGATATGGTTGTTTCTGCTGGCTCAAGGACTAATATTATGTTTTGTTTCTTGTTTTTTCCTCCAGGACATGAGGCGATCCCAATTTCCCGTTCGGTTTCCCTTTTAGATTACGCCTCAATAAGATTCCCCATAATGGTTTTTATTACCATAGGGGTCCCCGAAAATTGCAACGGTGTCCTTTGGGTTTGCCTGTAGAGGCAATCCAATAAGTTGGGATTAGCGCCATTTTCTTTCACCTCATGGAGTACTCGCAGGATGGCAATCCAACGCGGGGCGGCTCATGGGCATCGCGGACACTCTGGCGGCTGCTTGTCGAACACTTCGAGCTGCGTGTTGTCCAAGGCAAAAGGTCTGCCAAAACCATGGACCGACCCTACGTTTCATGAATAACTTGTTTCACGAGAACAGCCTTCCGTGTCGAATGACAAATATGACAATCAGCAAAATTCTGAATCACCTTTTCCAGTCTCATTCTTGCAACAACTCTAATTTCACAAAGGGAAGCCCAGTAGAATCTCCCCACCCAAATATGGCTGATGTCTAGGCAGGCAAAGGCAACTTGGAATTTTCCAACTTCAGAGCTTCCCTGAAGATGGTGGGTTTACCCCAGCCTTGGACAAGTTTGCCTTGGCTCAGGTTTTTACCCCCCCACTCTCATGGCGCCGCGTTTGATCCAATGGGCAAATCGGTTTGACGGCACCCCTTTTCTCGCGGAACAGCTGGCCCTAAAGCGCGAACGGATACCGTTGACCAGGGGTGGTATTAGTCAATTCGTCAATGTCCCCAAAGATCATTTGTTGTTTTCAGATCCAAGGGCAAGTGATAGGTTGGCACAGGGGTTGATTTCACACTCGAGTGTTGTGTATTGTATTACGCTGATGGGTGCATGGACGTTGTTCGGTGTCCATTGCTAGCGAAGGGACATCTTCAAATTGGGACTCATTGACGCAAGCTCAATCATTTGGATCTTGGGTCCTTGAAACCTTTGCTTTCACACAGACTCCTTGGCCGCCTTGGCCGCCTTGGCCTTTCTTTTCTTATCGGCGCGACCGTCAACCCTGTATTGTTCAAGACATGGTGCTGTTTCCCTACTCACCATAAAGGCTTGAGCCTTTGGCGGCGTCAAAGAGGGAGTTTCAAGATTACAAGGGCGTGATGCCGCTTGTCAGCTTGGTTTTCAGTACCACATGATAGTTCCTTTCAGGCATTTGGTTTGATCAATACGCTAGAAAACACATATTAGATAGATGTCTTCTCGTCGTTTATCCCCAAGGCACCCGGGATGCTCCGCGAAATGGGTGCGTCTTGTTGGTGGGCTACAGAGAGTTCCATGGGGAATGGATCACCTTGGCATAGCTGCCCCTTTTGACGGGATAGCTTGATTAGATATAGACGGGTTCCACTTGTTTAGACATGGGGGTTGGAGTACCATCTTCTTTTTTTGGCCGAGGGACACCTATGGCTTCAGCCCAGCTTAAACCAAGGTCAGGGTCAGCATGACCCTCCCCTTGAAGACAACGCAAAAACACCCCCCCCCCCTCGGCGGCCGCCCCTATGATTTGAAAGCTTTTCCAAACTCGTTTAGAGCCAACAACTCTTCTTCCATTTGCTACGATGACTAGTTTTGATTTCCCCCTGTTGGTTTTAATGTGGGAATATTGTTTACTTTGTCCAGGGGACGTATCCGCAAATGGAGGTCTTCTAACCCGCTCAGCTTTCGAGGACTGCGGCTACAAAGTCTTGCTCTCGGACCCCTTCTATGGAGACACCGCCGCCGGCAAGCCGGACATTGTCGAGTGGATCAAAGGCTTCCCCTGGGAGAAGAAGGTGGGAAAGCAACCCAAAAGGGCCTACATTTAGTAGGGGAAGCTTCCTACTCTTTTTTTTTCTTGGGGGGGGGGGGGGGAACAGCAGGCGCTGTATAAACCGTAAGCATCTTAGGAGCCAGAAGTGCTCGGGTTTTGGTTACTGCTCAAATGTCTCTGCATTTTTTGATGGCAATCGCGTAGTCAGCCAGCCAGTGTGGCGGATTGCGATACAAAGAACACCCTGAAGTTCATTTTCGAGGGGCCCTTTTGTTTGCAATGTGATTATGAACGGACAAAAGAGAGCTAACCTGGACGGGCCCCTCATTGTGCAACGGTTTGAAGGGTATCGTTTGTTGCCCAGCTTCACCTCTCGGGGAGTGGCTTTGACGGGTCGGACAAAGCGTGAAGGTCCCCTTGGAGGTGCTTCCGTTGACTCGTGTTTGTCACTGGCTCCAATGTCTCCTTGTGGTTTCACTTTAGACCAACCCCGATTGAGTAGCCTCAAAGAAAGCTAAACCAGACAGCTGCCTTCCATTTGCTGAAATTTCATTTTTTTGGCTGCCCCCTGATGGCTTTAAATTATGTGTTCATTGCTTTTTGTTTCTTCTTCTTGTTTTCTTCTGGTCTTAAAAGGGTTCTTGCTTGTTTTTTGTTTTTTGTTTTTCCCCCAGGGGACGTATTCGCAAATTGCAACTTCCCTCGTCTTGGAGGCTGGCCATCCAATGGCAACCTGCGATCCAGGTGGGCTCGGACATCGAGGCCTGTGTGAAGCACCTGCAAGACCAAGGCCGGAGGAGCTCTCGCTGTGCGAACGACGGGTCGGGCGGTCGAGCGGTCAGGCCCTTGCTGGGGTGTAAGGGGAACCCCAACGCCAATGGTACCATTTTGGGGTAGGTGCACCACCCATTTTAGCCTATTTTAGTTGGGATTGGGATGTTCACTGGGGGTACGGGGTTTTGACCCATAGCCACATGGGCACCATTTGTTTTTGGGGCTTCCCTTTATAAAGCAACCTGAAACGGCTATCCTTCGCCTCAAAACAACGCACACACGCACACGCACACATTCAATGTTGAGTGCTTGAAGCACGAAGGCACGAGGAGTCTTTGTTTCTCACCGAAGCGCGGCATTGCACCAACTGAAAAGACAACGCACGCAGATGGTTGACGATGTGACTTGCGGCAATTGTTGCAAACCACAAATCTTTTGCGATGTGACCCTCCCCGCCAAAAAGGCTTTGCCCTCAAGAAACAACTCCCAATATGTTTCATCAAGTTGGAAGACCATCCTTGTTCCAGCTAAGTCACTGTACGTGAAATGTCTGCAACTTCTTTGGAGCAGCACAGACAATGCGATATGGGGGTGCTATGGAATCCAAGCCTCAAGGCGTTTCCAGTCAAACACAACTCCCTATCGTTGGCCACATGTGTGATGGTCGAAAGACTGGTTCCTTTACTTGGGGTTCACGGGATGGTCATCCACCTGGTAGTAACCCTGAATGACAATTATAATGATTCTTTTTAAGGGGAAAAAAAACGGACTTTCGACCATGGCTCACATGTCGCCGACGCTTGCGGAGGTGCTCGTGACAAGGAGGAATTTTGGGCGATTCAAACAGTGATTGGGTGTGCGTGTGCCAAACCCGAAAGATCCCAACATGTTTGACTATATCTGCCAGGTTCCTTTCGTTTCTGTTGGCGCCCGGAAAGAAACGAGCCTGCGCCTCTTTCCGAGGTTCGACTTTGCTGTTCGTGTGCCCATGCTTTCTGCCATGGGCAGCAACAGAGCAGAACCAAACGACCAAACAACAGAACAATAGAGCTTTAGAACATGCACAGTGCAGAAAGCAAAAGCCACAAACAGAGGCAGAATGGCTTTTTTCAAATGACGAACAACAGAAATCCCAACCACATTCGGAAAAAGACCTCCTCCCACCCTCTGCCCCATGGCCCACTGACACGAGAGAGCGCGCTTTTCCGATTCTCGACTCGAGGCTGCAAGAGCATCGGCGTAGTGGGCTTCTGCTGGGGCGTGTGGGCCTTCTGCAACTCAGTTGCCCGAAGCCGAGCTTTCGACGAATTTTGGTTTTCTCATATCTCACTCCTTGAGTTCCTGGACTTCATAAGCTTTTTGGGAAGACCACTAAAGCGATAAATAAAAAGACCGTTATAGTGGTGAATAAAATGCTTGGATTTTTTTTGTAATGGCCAATCCACTCAGGAAGTGAGCAAAGAGCGGTATTTCTGGGTCCTGGGCAGCCGAGGTAAGGCTTCCTCCCTGGGAGTGCCCTTTAAATGCGGCGTGGGGCCCCACCCCTCCACTCGCCTGGAGGGGGTTTTCGGGGGCGACGAGCAGCAGATGATCGACAAGGCTCGCATGGGTGCTTGGCGCTGCCTTGCTGCGACAGAAGTATTTGAAAGTCTTCCATTAGCTGAAAAGACATTTCTTCTTGCCTTTTTACATTTATTTCCCCCCTTTTTATTTAATATGTTTTATGTTTAAGTGAATCAATTTCACTAGTGTATTTGTTATGTTTTTTTAAAAGAGGGAACAAAGAGCAAAGCAATCAAAACAATAATAATCGTATATTTCCCCTGGGGACGTATCCGCAAATGGAAGACGTACTTGTGCAGCTGCCCCACTGCCGGATCACATTTGGAGGTATGGCCTCTTTTTAAGGGAACCCCCCCAAAATGGGCTCGGTTTTCCTTTGGTCTCCCTTTGAAGCCAACCTGAAAACGGGTACCAACTCGAAACAGGGGCGAGCCACCGATTCCCTTTGGCCTGGACCCTGGATGAAGTTCTATGCTGGAAAAAAAAGCAGTTTTGTGGGCATCCCATGCCGCTTTCCGCTTGGGTGAGCGCCCCCCCCCCCCCCCCAGGTGGCGAAGTGGTCTTCCTCTTGGTGTTCCTTGATCGAAGAAACATGTACCTCAAAAAAACACCAGAAAAGACGAGCAACCGTTCCAGGTGTCCATGCCAGTGCTGCTCATGCCAGCGGGCAACGACCCCGAGAACCTCAAGGAGGGCGGGGCGGTGGCCGCATCTCTGGTGGCCAAGGGCGGCCAAAGCACCTTCGGATGGATGGGCTGGTTGGGGCATTCGGGCGGTTTTTTTCATACCCCCCCCCCCCCAATCCTTCTGTTTTTCCCCAGGAAGAGTTGGGGTCCTGGTTTTGGACGCATACCTTTTTTTCTTCATTTTTGTTTCTCGATTCCTTTCTGACATCCATTCTCGGCCTGAGGTGGTTTGAAGTGAGGTTGCGATTTTCAACTTCTGACTTGCCCTTTGCACACCTGAACCTAGCTCAAAGGCGGTAGAGGAGAACTCCCTGAGTCTGCGCTCATTGTGGTGAACGTTTGTTTTGATTGTTTTAGTAAAAAGAGCTCGCCCACGATATACGAAAAAAACCATATTCCCTGTCAGGCGTCATGACAACTTGGGAGGGAGGGTAATAAGTGGCAGAAGGAATCATGCTCACGACCAAGCTAATTCACCTTGATTGCATGTCGCCTTTCTTAGTTGACTCGGTTGGATCGACCGGGGAATGTACCAGTTTTCCTACTCAGCAAAAATCGCAGTGCGAGTTTTCCCACTCAGCGTTTGGCAGATAGGGATTTCAATCAATTGCCACCAAGAGTCGAGATGAGCCACAATGGGTAGACGAAGGTTCGTAAGGGATAATCCCACCCATAAATCGGGGCCTTCGCCGCCTTTTTACTTCCTTGCATGGTTCTGGGTTTTTAATAGCAGGTTTTGACTTGCTGGTGCTCAGCAGGGAATCTGGGGATGAACCGAGGGATTCCCTTAAAGTAAACCACAAGGGATGGTTTATAAAGGGTCATTCCCTCATTCCCTGCTGAGCACTAGCAAGTTGACTATGACTCAGACGAGATCCAGACTCTCAGGCATTACCTTCCCTGACATGCAGCACGGCTGGAGCTGCCGCGGGGATCTGAGCCTACCAGAGGTGAAGCGTGACACGGAGCTGGCGATGAAGCACATGGCGCCTCGGTTGAAGTTGCGCGGACGGATCCATGGGGTCTCCGTGCGTCCATCATGTTGGTCAAAAACACAGCTTCCCACCAGAGTGTGTCAAAAGAAGGCCGCAGTTTTGGGCTGTTTGAAAAGGAACAGGAAGAAGCCCATTGTTATTGCTTGGGCATGGGTTCCGGTGGGACACACGGTTTTGGTGACCAAAATGATAGATCGGTGCATACTCCGGTGGGATTTGGTCAGTTTGGGACTGGAATTCATGGCTTCGGCAGAACGAGTCTTAGTCACTTTGATGCACCGAGGTTGACTTCTTCGCCCACAACCTCTGAGAGGGCGTTCCAAAGTAGGGTTTGGGCGGCCTTTTGGTTTGCGCGGAGCTCGGCGACTTGATTCGACCCGGCGCAATCGAGGTCGAGGATCGGTTTGGACAGATCCATACCGGTGATCTGGCCCAGTTGCTCAAGCCCTGCAAAGGACAGGCAAGTTATTTTCAACAGACAACAGGTAGGCATAGACAAATTTGCGGCCGCGCGAAAAGAGGCCTGGTGTCGACTTCGAGCGGGGAGGAGGATGGAGCCCTTGGCTTGCATCCAGGATATGACATCCAACCCGTTCCTCTTTGTACGCGAAACACCGTCGCACTTTGCACAGTGTCTTGTCCTTGGGTTCGCTGTCCATGCAAAGCCCTTCTCTAGTGTGGTGCAATCATCCTTTGCGAGAGCGCACGTCTTACTGAAGCAAACCACAGTGGATGGGATATGCAGGAAAATTCATGGCCGCTTCTCACCCATAGCAATGATAGTGACGCTTTGTCCAATATCAGTTACGTTCGTATGTGTGTGCTTGCGTGCGTGCGTGCGTGCGTGCGTGCGTGTGTGGGATTCCCATCTCTGGCATTTAGGAAGTTCATCCTGCCTCAGCTCTGGCGGGCCCCAAAGAAGACGCGATCGAACTTTGTCTTTGTTGTTAGGTTTCACCTAACCTTAGAACACGACTGCTGCGCGCGTTTGCTTTGCAGAAACAAACCAGTGTCAAATTCTCTTAGTCGGTGTCTTCGGCCAGGCAAATTTTGTTGGGACAAGCCCAAAAGAAGTTGAACAAAGCTCCTCCGGAACCCTTTTTTGAGGCACCCGACTCAGGTTGGCATTGCACCGACTGCTTCCAGCCGTGGAAAGATCTTGTGGTGCCCCCGGTTACGCCCCTGCCTGGTGCACGCTGCTCGCCTGAAGCCTTCTTGGGCATGGCAAGCATGTGGCTGGAGTTGCTTTTCTTGGACTTTCCATCTCTGAGCGATTTGTAGAATTTGACACAACGGGAGTGAGAGCGACACCCTGAGGAAGGTTTTGGAACCTCCAATGTTCAATGTTCCTGTGGCTTTTGCATGGACAATGTACGTACATCTCATGCTCAGGTATTGTCTCAGTTCTCAGTGTTTGGTGCCGATGGATTCCTATCTTGTCTGTGCTCCCAGATGTGTCCTGCATTATGTTGGTTGCTGTTCTGGGTTATCGGTGTACTTAGTTTTGCCGCGTATTACATTGTAGCAGTTCATTTGCAGCATTCGAGCGCATGTTCTTTGATGATGATGATGATGATGATGATGATGATGATGATGATGATGATGATGATGATGATGATGATGATGATGATGAGGATGAGGATGACGATGACGATGACGATGAAGATGACGATGATGCTGCTGCTGCTGATGATGATGATGATGCTGATGATGATGATGATCATCATCATCGTCATCATCGCAGAGGTCATCATCATCATCATCATCATCATCATCATCATCATCATCATCATCATCATCATCATCATCAATTCCTCATCCTAATCCCGAATCCTGATGCCAGATAGAGGTGGTTTAGAAGAGGTTTAGGGATCCCCCCCAAATTTTGCCCAACCCTTCAACAAAAAGGAGCCACACATAATTTTCCCATCCGTCACACGCCCATTCCTCCATAGGCGCCCTGCTGGCCCGAGCCAAGCCTTTCCACGAGCGCCAGCTCCTGATGACCGGGCGGGGGGGAGAGGATTTGATTTCGGGCAACCTGGGAGACTGATGCCTTTGGAGGCCAGTGGCATCGGCATTTTCTTTGCAGAACCCCCCCCCCTTTCTGCAAGCCCAAAGCCCTGTGAGGGTGAGGTGACTCGGACTCTTGGCTTCTCGTGCCTGGACACGTGGCTTGGACATAAAACTGCTCCATAAGCAACGCGCACAAGAAGGGAACCGCCAGCACAAGAAGCTTGGAAACCGAAACATCACAGACTCACACGCGCACCAGCACCCACTTTTCATAGGCAACATTGATCGCCGGGTTTGCTTTGCGATCTGGCTCGCTCAAAGCATGCTGTTCCGGCAATGGACTGGTTTAGCGGGCGATAACGACAGTCACTTATGTTCCTGCAACATTGGCAATGAGTACTTCTCCCAATCCACATTGCCAAGGGCATGGTCTCCAGAGCATGCATCCATGCGCAAAATCGGAGACGGTCTGTTGGATCGATGTTAAACGAGAGGCACCCGAAGCAACACCCTTTTCGCAAGGCTCCCCAAATTGCTGGTGCGATAGGCAGGCCCGAGATAAACCATGCGCTATGGTTTTCATTTAGGGAATCCCTTCCGGTTCATTCCCAACATCCGGAAGGTCATTCCCTACTGAGCACCAGCAAGATTTAAGACCGGTTTATGGACTTTGCCTTCCCAGTGATAGCTTCTTTACTTAGATGAAGGGGATGAAAGTAAAATGGTTCCCTGTTATCACAGTGCTTGAGGAACAATAGAACGGATGGCAGAAAACAAGCGATCACGGCGACCCCCCAGCGATTGTAAAAGGCCCGCACGCTCAGGCACCCTCAGGGTCAGGGCTGATGGAACCTGGGCATCCCTGCACCACTTAAATTGTCCGACTCAGCTCAGCGTCTGTACACATTCAACGCCCGGGTAGCTGAAGGTTAGCAAGGGACAGTCCCAACCAGAAATGGTGCCTTCACCGCCTTAGGTTTACCGTTTTGGTACCGATCAGTTTTGATTGTGCCTCAAATGATGACTGGTCAACATACCGTGGATGGACGAAATATCCATTTCGGACCACTTTGAACACCATGCCAAACCACTCTTTGTTGCTTTGTTGGTATTTACGTTGGGGAATCGAATCATCCCGTTGGGTTTCTGAACGTGTGCGGCATGCATTGCGGCCCCTGGACGTCAGTCACATGCGCAGGACCTGGCACGGGCAGCACGCGGACTCGGAGAGCGCGGCGGTGCGGCGGGCGTATCGCATCACCAACGAGACGGTGCGCACCGAGTTGATCCACCACCTCAGCGCTCTGGATCCGATTTGGCCCGCGCACGTGCGGGCGATCGTGCCGATATAGGGAAGGAGACATGGTTTGTGAGCCCGAGATGAAGCCTCCAAGTGGTTTCCTGTATTCGGGAATTCAGTCTTACGTCCCCTGCCAATCGCACCAGGAAAAAAAAGGTGGGAGGACACCCCCGAAGGCCGACTGTGTCATGTCGCCATTCGGAACGATCGAATTGCGCCCCACATTCGCTACGCCACTCATTGACAACGCATAGTTGATTCCCGCTGGTAAACCGCGAATTGCGCCCAACTACTTTGGCTGGGAGTAACCGGAAGGTGTGCCTGTCATTTGTGGCGTCTCGAAAGATCGGCACTCTTTCGATGGTTAAGCTGAGACATGCCCATCGAGTCCAAGGGTTCCATATTCATGACACGGAAGCTCAAAATTTCACAATGCTATATTTCAGGGAAGGGAGTTTTCGGGTAACACGCCTGCCCTGATCGCAAGCTCCCAGAGTTCCTTGGGAAAGGCTGACAAGATGCTTATTCGGAGAGTTGCGTGAAAGGTCCACTGACTTTGCGAAGGCTCTTTCTACTCTGCTTCTCTTTGGTCAGTTTCTGAAACCGTTACGGCCAACAAAAACCTTTAAAGCTGTTTTGGGAAATGGCCGGTTTTGTTTATTGACGAACAACATAGATATTTACTTGCATGGAGACAACAACCGACCCTGTTTACTACAAGCGATGGGGCAGGCAGGGCATGTCACAAGTGATGGCACATCACAAGTGATGGCATGTCCGCGTGTTGCTCTCCGGGTTGCTCCAAAAGATGTCGGCAGGCTGGACGTGGCATGAATTTCACTTGGGAACCCTTGAGAGTGGTGGGAATTTATGTCCGCCACACTTATTGGACTTCATGGCCGTTTGGTTCGTAAGGAAAACCGAAATAAGCCATCGACCAATCTATTTCCCACTGTATGGGTCATTTTGTTCAGCCACCAAGAACCGCAGCTCTTAGTCCTTGTTTCCATTTATCCTATGGTTGTCCTGGGCACCCCAAAAAGGGCCCCCTGGACACGTCAAAAGGAACCCTAACAGCCCTTAATCGACCTCGCTAGCCCTTATCGGGATTTGGGGGGGGGGGGGGGCCCTATTAAAAGGCCTTGACAACCATAGGAATCTACCAGGGTTCTATTCTTCTTACCCACAGTATGGGTCATTTTGTTCAACCAGCAGAAAGCCCCTGGTTTTAGTCTTTGCTTCCATCTACCAAATTCTATTCTGGTACGGTACCCTATTTCTTCCCCCAACACCAAGCCATGGATTTGGTCTCGGCCCAAATAGGCCCTGGGGCTCGAGATTCGGCTCCGAAACTGGTGGGGCCCGAGACCAAGGCCAATAGGCCTGGTTCAGAGAGCGTGGCCCGAGGCCACTTACCGGATGTTTCCATCGGCTCTCCCATTTCGGACTATGCGGGGGTGATGGGCAACGCGAAGTTCTGCCTTTGTCCCAAAGGCAGGTCAGGGTTTTGGTGAGTTTCCGTTTGGCGTAGTGATAGTCTATGGAATAATCTTTGTGCCACAAAGCAAGCAGGCAATAGATCTTTGACGGAGCCCATGGCTTCACTTCCCCTTGAATTAGGGTGTCTCTTAGTGGAGATGCCGTTAACTTGTTTGGAAGGGTGCATGCTCCCAAACTTCCGTCACCAAGGGTTTTGCTCAAATCTGCGGCTTCTTTGCGTATGGGATTCGTTTCCGTGATCTCAGCAGGTAGGGTTCCTTGTTAGACAAGCGCTGGATGTTTGAAGGCCGGCGGCCACCTCCCGACCTCAGCTTTTGCTTGCGCGGATGCGACTCCGGAAATCCCAAGCAACAAACATCAGGGTGGAATATGAGGGTTTTTGCCAGTCCTTGTGAAGAGTTAGCCATCACAGAGATGGTGCTTCTTCAGGTGGAGGTCACCACAACTGGCACTGGTGTTCACCAAGCGAGGTTTCATTAGATCAGAAGGGCGCAAAGGGTTTGGAACCTTTGCCCCTGAACTGAGAATCTTCACTTGGACCCCTTGACTTTTTCGCGGGGAGATCCACCCCCGGACTTGGGCCCCTTTGAGTTTTCAATTCTTGTGACTCGGTAGAATGAGCAAAAGACGCTTTTGGCTTTGACCACCAGTTCTCGCGTGCCTCTCGCGTTCTCGCGTTCTCGGATTCTCACGTTCTCGCCCGAGCCAGGAGCAAGCTCTTACACTTCGCGGACCTTCGAAGCCCTTTTTGCTGGCTGCATCCCAGTGATTCTCTCCGACCATGTGCGTCTCTCGGCCTTTTTCGCCCATTTTGCTGGACAAGAGGGCCAGAGATAGCGGCTCAACCACGTGCAAGCGGAACATGGCGTGGCCTTCATCTTGCTGGTGGGGTAGGTAGGGAAGGACCCAACACCCAGGGTGTTGGGAATGAACCTTGAGATGCACTTTAAGGATACCACAAGGGATGCGATGGTTTGTAGGGGTCCGCTGAGCACCAGCAAGTTGTCTACTTCAGAGCGTGAAAACGGCGTTTGCAGACAGCAGCCTTGCAGAATGGCAAGGGGACCTTGGCAAACCTTACCAACAAGAACACTGGCATGTTTGGAAGACCAGTACGTGGCCCCACTTTCCACATTTGGGTTTGAAGTTGTGCCCTTCCAAGGGGGTTCCTAAGGCCTTCAAATGAACAGTTCCATTTTGCTGAGATGAACGTGTTGTATCTCCCCCTGTTGGTTAAAGGTATTTCTATCACTAGTGGACATATCTTTCTTCTTTCCAGGGGACGTATCCGCAAATGGAGAAGCACCAAAGCCAATGCGAGTTTTTGTTATGCGACCCGAGGCCTGCCCTTCGACCACGTGCTGAACTGGTCGGACTTCAGCATCGCTTGGCCCATGGCACGCGCCGCCGCTAGACGACAGAGGCATCAAAGCTTGGTCCCTTCCCTTGGCAGATGGTGCATTTACGTGGGTGGCTGTTAAGGGACTCCCCCCAAAACCAAAAATGGTGCGACGGTTGTGCTTCCGGTTTCCCGCTTTCCCTTTCAAACCGCCAGAGAAGGAGTACCGGGACTCAAAAAGGGACACACCCACATGGAGCCCCACATGGAAGGACAGGCATGCTGCATGCTGTGTTGTCTTAGCCACTCAGCCACAGGGTGGTTCGACAACCTCTGAAAGCACCTGCTTTTTAGTTGTCCCAACACATGGTGACGGTGTCCGGCATCTCGCACTTTTTCCAAGAAGGGCTTTGGCACTCGGGTTTCGCCTTGGGTCCCTTTGCTAGGGATGGACCGAAGGGAGTCCCACAAACGCAGACCGCTGGCAAGACGGCTTTTGAACCTCTGAGAATCATGGTGCATTGAGATCATGGCTGAGCGAGCTGAGCAAACCGCATGGTATAGTGAATGTGCGAAGTTGAGGGTGACAGAGTCAAGTTTTAGTTTAAACACACGCCTGATTGGCGAGTGGGGAACACTACAGGCAAGAGCGTTTCTAGCTCACTTAGAGAGTTTATAACCAGTGTTTGACCTGGTTTTAATCACCATGTGGAGGCCGGGCAGCAAACACCAGCTCGTTTTTTTTTTTTTTTTTCCCTTCCGTGTTGCATCGTTGGTGATATCACGTCAAAATGTGAAGGATGTCAGGCACTGTTGACTGACAACCACAAGCAGTCTGGATTCGTTTTTCTTGCTGGTTCCTGGTAGGGAATGATCCAGGGTGTTGGGAATGAACCTAGCGATTCCCTTGAAGAACACAACAACGGTTTATAGGACATTCCCTCATTCCCTGCAGAGAACCAACAAGTCTTTTTCCTCGCATCTGCCGTCGCTTGAAGCGCGTGTTTGTTTCGAGACTTTTTGCGCACCAAACCGCCGTAACAGCGCCTTTGGCTGAGGACATGAGCCTGTACCACTACTTGCAGAGTTGCCTTGGCCAATTTCAGCGTGGATTCGCGCTTGGAAATGCAGTCTGGGGGTTTGAAGTTCCCTAGGCGTTCAAGTGGGTTCCACGGAGGCGATGTGCCAGGGCTTCACGAGCTTGGGGAGATGTCGACCTTGGTAAAAATGTTGCGGACCGCAGGGTATGGCAAACAACCAAATGATGGCAAAAGGAACCAGCAAGACAATGGTTTCACTGGTGTTCAAGTGGATTCCAGTCGGCCTATGCGACTTTAAGGGAGCTTTTGCCAGAAAAACCACGTTTGGAGGGAGCTTACTCTGACGCTGGCGAGTTGCGCGAAGGTGGCTTACCTTGGACCCAGTCATGAAACTGGGAATACACCTGGGAACCACGGTGTGGGTTTGTTTGTCAATGGGGAGCCCCAAACATGGGCCTGGTTTCCGTTTGGTTTTCCTCACACTAACCCCAAAAAGGATCTTCTCAAAAAGACAAGCCCCATATGTTTAAGGACTCGAGATCAGGCGACATTGAAAGGATCTCCATATCGACCAGAAGCCAGAGCGTCCTGAAGAGCGATTCCTTGAGTCCACTGCTAGAACAGCAAGCCGACATGAATGTCCGGCAGATGTTTTAGGGAGCTTCCTGACCAAAGTATACCTTTATACATGTATATATATATATACACATGCATATCATCTAGACGGACAATTATATGCTCATATGATATACACCCGTATGAACACACACACACACAAATCCATACATACATATACATATACGTATATTTATATATGTATATATATATATGTATACACATGTATGACATGTGCATGAATATGTGTATATATATATATTTATACACACGCATATAACACGGGAGCCAAGCCACACTGAGGCTGAACCATGCACGAGCCACTTGCAACTTAGGCTTCGACGAGGCTGAGGCCTTGGCGATGCAGCAAAGAGGGGCAGAGGCGCGGTGCTGGTTCGACTACTTCGCGCAGGAGCAGGCAGCGATCTCCGGCGCCGATCGCTCTCGCTGGATCGCGTTTTGCGTGCTGCGAGAGGTAGGGAATGAGAAATAGGGGTTGAACCCAGGGATTCCCTTAAAGAAAAACACAAGGGATGGTTTGTAAGGGCCATTCCCTCATTCCCTGCAGAGCACCAGTTTGGCATAAGGGGCCAGAAGCTGGCAGGTGTAAACTGTTTGAGTGATTTTTTGGTCGGGTTTTGGAGCTTTGAATGGTTGTTGACTGGTTTTTCGTCCTCATACGGATTTGGAGATGCGAGCATGTGCAAGCAGTTTGAGCTGAAAGCAACATCAGCCATTTCCAACTTTACCCAGGAAGACCATGGCTTCTTGGAGTGAATGAACGTATGTATGCCTGCATGAACTTGTACGAGTCACACACGCACACATATCTTCTGGGTATATATATATATACATATATATATATATATATACACATACATGCGCGTGTATGGTACATCACGCTGTTAGTCATGTGGATATATATATATATACATATATATATATATACACACACACACCTCCGCGCTGTTTCAAGGGACTGCACTCTTCGCAGACTTGTGCTTTGATTTTGACCAACTCGTTATGAGCTACCGGGTTGGAAGGCCCTATAGAGCTAGTAGCTAGAGGTCTTGGCCAGCTTGAGAAAATGCAGCCTCTGGGCCTCTTGCCCATGTCCACTTTGTTTCAGGACCAGTAGCCAGCAAATGATCATCGGCTCAAGCACCCACCTCGGAAACACCTCAAACACTTTTGGTTTTGTTCCTCTTGTTGGCCGACTAGTGAATAAGCTGTTTGATACTCTCTGAACACCGCTGCAACATCCCACCGCTTGAAGCCCGTGCTCCCCCTCGAGCTCGTCCAGTTCCGGTGGTGTTTGAAGACGGGGGGGTACCAAGGCATTCGGGAGCCCTTGGAGGGCAGTTGGATTTCTTTAGCTCAAGCTGATAGCCGTTGGGTTCGCTTCACGATATCAGAAGTCCAGCAAGGCGCTCTCTCTCTCTCTCTCAATATATGTATATATGATTATATATATATATATATATTTATGATTATATATATACATATATATATGATTATATATATACACATATATATACATATATATATATATATTCATTCCAACAGCTTCCTGTGGTCTCAAAAGATCAGTTTGCATTTCTCAGCTCTCCTCACTTCCGACAGGAGCCCCAGCAGTGCTCGCCCTACTTGGCGGTGCTCATGGCGCTGCAGGGGCGAGCGATTCGGCGGAAGCGGCAGCACGAGGGGCCCCGGTTGACGGTCCACGGTGTCTTCATGGGTCCAGGGACTTGGATTCTTGGGACTATTACCTTTTTTGGTTGAAGCAGGCGGGATTTTCCAGGGGGGGACCCGCAAAAAGTGAAACACATTTTGAAGAGGGGTCGGTACAGCAAGCAAGGTGTGGTTCCCTTGGTCATTGGTTTAGTTTGGCTTTCATTCGGTTTCGGTTGGCTTCCTTCTTCAAGGCTACGTGTGTCCTCAACATGGTTGGTGTCCTTTGCTTTGAGCGGAAACCTGCAAGGAGACCCATGGCTTTGGGTCAATCTGTCTATGTGGGGGCTTCCCTGATAGAGTACCCATTCAGAGCGTTTTGTTTTGAATAGGTATGCCAAGGGTGCGCACATTCTAAGGGCACCACTTAGACCTAGAAGGGCCTGTGCTCGAATTTGGGCCAAACGGGACGTGTGCTCAATATGGGGTTTTGCCAAGTTTGTTCTTCGGTCGGAGGGGGGGGGGCTGAGAACCTCTTGGTGGTCCACCCACAGTCCCTTCACTGATTTTGTCTTCCAGGTACGTGTTCCTTTTTGGTTTCCATTTAAAACCAACCCCAAATAGGATACCCAAACAAATACAGACCTCATTGTGTTGGGATGGAGGGCAAACAGGAAGCTGAACATCCAACGCAGTCACAAACTAAGAAGGAATATCCTGAATGTATCTCCTCGGCAATGCTTTTCGACTTCACCTCTCACAGAATTATTCTAGGTTTTCCTTTTCAACCCTTGCCATCCTTTGGTGCTTGGTTTCCTGTTGGTGTTAGTTGAGAGCTACGGAGAACCTCTCCATTCAGGATTCCAAACGGGGCGGCGGCGACTTTCATGTTATTCTGGCCAAGAGTCAGAGGGAGGCGAGAGGGGGAGAAGGCAGGTGATTGCAGGATTTGGGTTTGTTTCAAATATGGAGCCCCATTTGCTTGAGTTGTTGCTTGGAAACAGCCCCAAAAGGGTATCCTCAAACACAGGCGTCACAACCATGTTCCAAACAGCCACGGATGTTCACGCCAAGTTGCCTCAACTGCCACTTGCATTCACGGCTGCCAGGTGGCAAACATGCCGAATTTCACGCGATTCTTCGCTGTGCCCGACGAACCGACGAAAAAGATGTGCGCCACAGGGCAAGGGGAGTCTGATGCGAATCGTTTTTGCTGGAACAGTGAATTGTCAAACCTGCAACGAAGACACCTCACGGCACTTCGAATATTTGTGTCAAAGTGAGAAGGCAGGGAAGACAAACTGCAGCCATGTTTGATTTGTGCTATGCAGAGAACTTCAGTTGCCGATACTCTCGTGGGAGCTGCGAGCTGTACTTGCGAGATCCTTTGTGAACTTATCCCGGCAAGCTGTGGCTGAGAACCAACTTGACAAAAAATGGACGGCTTGGTGAGTTACTTTTGGCTTCACCTCAAACCGTAATGGGTGTGTTTGATTTGAGGGAAGCTCCTTTTGGTTGGTTTTAAGGGAAAACCAAAAGGACAACTGGTTGAACATGGTTTAGGTTGGTTATTCCATTCACCAGTGCCATCCATTTACCAAAAAGACACCTATGGTTGGGTGAGAGTTTGTGGTCCCACTTTTTGTTTGGCTCTGTGTCCATTTTTCCATATAATTTGAAGCCATTTTTCCATATAATTTGAGGCCATTTACGTTCTCTCATACAACCATGCCGTAGCAACCCGTGCTTCATGTTATTCGGCTATGTGTCGAAACGGGGGAGGGGGAAATGGCGGGTTTCCAATATTGGCTTCCCTTTAAACCGAGGTGAAAGTGTACCCTTGCATCTAAGGGCCAACTTGCATACTCCAAACGGACATAGCGGTTATAACTGGGTTTTATGAGGTACCCCAGAATCCATCCCTAAGGCCTGTAGGTGGGGTATGTCCATTTGGGGTAAGTTAGCCCTTGGAATTTAAAAACCGAGACCCAGTGGAAGCCGGTGAGAGCCAAGCCGTCGGCTTCAGGAGAGCGCCAAAGCGCGGATGATGCCGGACTCTGGGGCCGGGCCAGGCCGAGATGCGTCGCGAGACGCGGAGACGCGTTGCGAGCCGCAGACAGGGTCCGGTTGGATGAGCTGATTTTTTTTGTCTGGGGCTGGCCCAAAAAAGCACCTCCGCCCCCAAAAGTTGGGGGGGGGGGGTGTTAAAGGTACCCTTTATTCAGCAGCAAGACCATTTTGGGGTGTGCCCCCCATTCAGATTGGGCAGGTCGAAGCGACCGCGCAAAGGGAGTTGGTTTGCGAACTTATGAAGGACGCTTTGGCTTCCTCCGGAGAATGCTTCTCATGCGCTGTGCATGAGAAACACGCAAAACGCGGCTCTTTTATTGGTATGTGGTGGAATTCGGGTGCTTCTTGTTTTAGAGTATCTTTTTTTAGGCAGTTTCACCGGGAAACCAATAGCTGTTTGGGCTGACCTTCAACCTTCTTTACTTTTTGAAAGCTGACCCCCCCCCCCTCCCCCTCCGATAACCCCCAAAATCATCCACCATAGCCACTTGACATCGCTGGTCAGGTCCCGGCGCTTCACTGATCGTGGCCTCGGCAGAAGTTGGAAATGTGCGTGTTTGTGTGTTTTTGCTTTGAAGGTACGCTCTTTCAGGTTGGTGGAAAGGGAAGCCAAATGAAGGGTGCTTGCATCGCCTTGATATCGATCCCTGCAAGTCCCTTAGGCTATCTACTTGGAGCCTGTGACAATCACGCCACGTACCCGCAAAATTGGGGTCGTGTTGATAGAGCGTTTGCACGCATAAAAGCATTGGAGTCTCTATCCAGTCAAGCCTGGTTTGTTCCCGGGATTGCGTGCCCAATCAGACCGCCGAGTTTGCTTTTCTCCAAGTGTACACCCAGCCCTTCCAGCTGCTTTCGCGATGTGTGTTTGTGTGCCCAGGGTGATCAATGGATTTACCAAACCAAACACGTCTGAGTTTTTTCATGAACGTGGGGAAGCGACGCTTAGCCCGCTTCATGAACCGGCGACGTCAATGGTTCTGCAAACCTGAGGCTTGCGACCCATTCCCTCGATTTGGAAAGTATTCCACACGGTCTGATTCTTTCCACGCCGCATGCATGCAATGTTAAAAGCAAAGCCAAACTTCGCAGAGTTGGCGCAGAGTCCTTGTGAAGCGGCTTCGTGCTGGCTGATGGATAGCAAGCTTGCACTGGCCACAGCCTGCGAAAGAAAGCCAGGCGTTCCAAAAACAGTTCGAATGTCGGGCAAGTCACTTTACTAGGCCGTTGGAAGTCTGACAGGAACTTTCTCAACGACGTTCATTGCGTTCCTAGAGTCGCAAGATAAGATTCAAGCAGTCAGGAGTGCTCGTGCGAATTGAACATTGCGCCATTACAAGATGTGCATTGCTAGGCAACACCCGGGTTCTGCAAAGAGCCGATCTGGCTCCTGAAGACTGGGAACTCGGGATTAATAAGCCTATCCCATGAGGGCGGTGTCACCCACCGTGAAGGATTCCTGCTTTCGCCACGGCTCGTCAACGCTCCATCGCTTCGCTAGCGCTTCGCGGTAGCAGCGAGCTGGGCTTGTCGATCTACAGACCCCTAGAACCCTCTAGAAATACTCAGAAACCTGATAAACCCCTTCAAACCCGTGCCAAAAGCGGTTCATTTTGAGAAACACGCTGGGTGCCGCCTTCATTCGAGTAGGTCTACTGGGTAGGTTGTGGGAACGCCTCTGTTAAGATTTATGACCAGTTTTGATACACACACACACACACATCATTGACTGTGGCGAGTCCAAGGACGTGCTTGCGGCGCAAGAGCAATCAGCAGAACAAGCGGCTCCGGCACGCATTGGCTGGACTGTGTAATCAGAATATGATTTGTCAGCTTGATGCCAAGATAACCCTGGTTTCTAGGTGTGCTCCCTAGCCTACTATGCCCAGGCTGAAAGGTACCCATCGACAGCGGAGCCAACAAGTGTACACAGCAAATGCTCAATCCAACAATAGGTCTGAAAGACATTTCAGATACTCAGAATGCTGGCTATCTTCATGTTCGTGACATTCTGTGTTTTGTGTTTGCCAGAATTCAGGCAGTCCGGGAACATGTGCCGCTGACTGAAGAGTTGGAGAAGAGAGCGGCGGAGCGAGAGAGAGCGAGAGAGAGACAGAGAGAGAGAGAGAGAGAGAGAGAGAAAAATAGGAAACAGAAAGTCGTATTGGAACAGCAGAAGTACACAACCAAAGAGTCTTCGCCAGAATCGAGGGCCTTGGGAACGTTGCTTTTGTATGATCAGGCGGAGACCGACAATGTGCCTGCTGGCAATGCCCAGCGTCATATCCACATGCTGAACGTGCCATTTTAGATTGGACGGCGGTTCCATCAGCGAGAAATGCAGAATTGCGTGGTTCCAACTTGTTTGCCTGCCTGAAGGACATGTTTAGATATGAACACGCCCGGTTGAGGCCCCCCCTGCGTCAAAGCAGTACCTAACTCATACCAACAATACACTAAATGCTCATCGCTGAACTGTGCCAATCAAATTGAAGATTATCTTCCAAAAGGGAAACAACAGAGCTAAGTTTAAAGCGAAGCCGCGCAGAAGGATTGGTTATTGACTGGCCCTAGTGGTCTCAGCCAAGGTCACAAGTGACGCAATCTTCACCAAACCTGGAAGCTAAGAACCTGCACATTACCCTCCCACCAAGCAACATGGAACCGTTCGACGCTCGGGAGGTCCTGGAGAACGGATCATGTTCCTTTTAAAGGGACCCGTCCCCGAACGTCAGGTTCTACCCAAAAAGGGGTATTCGCAAAGGAGGATGGTTTCTTGGGTGTGTGGTGTTTTTTGGGAATCCTGCCCCTTACCAACCAAAAGCAGGCTTCCTAGATTTCCCTACATCACAAGGAAGCTCACAAGAAAATCTCACTTCCCGAGTTCTTGGACTTCCAGCTTTTTGGGATACTGTTAAGCACAACAGTTTTTTCTTTTTAGGCCATCTACTCAGGGAGGGAGAAATCCCCCGAGTCCGCGACCAAAGACCGAAACACTGACATCGGTTTTAGAATCGCCACTGGGAGCCCCACTTGCCCCGAGAGCCGAGAGAGCTCGCTTCGAGTTCAAGTTTTGGCTTTGGGTTCAATATGGGTATGTCTTGTTTTTAGGGGACACATCCCCCCTTCCCCCCACAAACTTGTTGAAGTAGAATCTAACGCATAAAATGATGCTTTGGGCCCACCCTAACCAGCCTGAAAAGGGCAGACATAGAGGGGGCAAGGGAGAACAGCCGCGAGGAAGCTAGCCCCACATCTCAGCATGGAGCTACTGTTGTTAAAGCAACTCGGCACCAAGATGTGGCAAGAACGCAGTTGTCCATTGCACGTTAAGAAGCAGCAGAGCGGGTGTCCTTTTCCCCCAGTGGGTTTGTTCAAGATGTGTCTTCATCACAATGCAGGCCGGTATGGACGACCTCACCTATGCTCGTCAGAGAGAGGCCGGGTATACGAGCGGGTTCAATGTTTCACGCAAGCGCACCTCTCACCCAAGACATGTCGGCTTCTGTTGGCAGCCACATGTTGCACATGTGTGTGTTCTTTTTTGATGGCCCCCTTTTGGGCTGGCAAAGGGAAGCGGAAGAAGCAAAATCCGTTTTTGGAGGCTTCGATTCCCGAAAAGAATGGCCGAGCCAACCACATGTGCACCAGGGTTTCCAGCCCTAAAGT